ATTGCAGTTACAGTGCTGGCTGACAGGCAGCTGTGGGCAGGAGTTCATAATAAACTACATTGCAACGCCTGGGGCAGAGGCAGCAGGAAGGAGTTGCAATTTTCTGTATGTGTTCTTAGTTAAATGCCTGGAACATGCAAACTGTCCAAGAAATGATTGTGTGTTGCCTTGTGGTTCTTTAGCACTTAGTAGAGGAGAGCCCACTTATGAACTGCTCATGTAATAGCACAAGCTGCAACAATGGAAAAATAGATTGGGTGTTGCAGGAGAGGCATGTAGTAGGAATCTGCCACTGCAAAAGGAAGTCTGTCAAAGTACAGGGCTATGGTAGCGCCATGATGCGGAGAAAAATCACCTGTACAGCAGTGGAGAAGGCTGCAGAGATCCATATCTAACATCCTGTCTCACAAGGTGGAGTGGTCCCTTCCTGTGCTAATGACAAGAAACTTGTGTGCTGTGCTCCTCCTTGATTGCTGTTTCCTACTTTCTGCTTGTGGAAAAAATAAACTCTTCGAGGTGGGGTTCCCTGCTAGCTTTTATAAAGGAGTTTGAGGACCATTCAGAAAGACTGAACCACTAGAATGGTTTCTTTTCCCTTGACAATCACTGGATTTCTTAAGGACATATGTACGTGGCGGGGTTTATTTCATTTTTAAATTAAATTTGACTGGACAAAGACCTGTTCTCCATTAGTTCAGGGACTAGGTAACTGTGGAGACACCAAGATGTACAACTGCATAGTAAGAAACCATTGTTGTGAAACAGTCTTCCATTAAATGCTAGCAGAATGTAATGCGGGGTGGATATCTTCCCACTTAAGGCGTGGGCTTGGTGCGAGGGACAGGGTTCAGTTCTGCAGCGTATAGCAGGTGCTGTGAATGCTTGTGTGCAGGTCGCACACTTTGACAACTGAGCGGGGTGCGTCTGAGCAGGAGAGGCCAAGGTGCAGGGTGAGTTAAAGGCACTCGTTTCTTTCGCCCTTTACTTCCTGCAGATTGACTAGAACAGGCATAGCACAGTGAGACCATGCTTGAGCCACCCACCAGACTGCATCTTAGAGTCAGATTTCAGTTAGTGCCGTCAGACTCCACATCACAAAAACAGAAAAAGTGGACTGCACAGAATCATTTGAGCCTTGAAATTTTATTATCTTGTTTGCATCAACCAGTTATTCCTTTCAGCACCAATAAAAGACAAAACCCCCTCCCTGTTGTTCAAAATACCTTGTTTTTATCAGGTCTGAGATTGTGGTTTTCTTGCAGGCAAAGAAACCAATGAAAATATTTAAATTTTTATTTTTTTAATACATTTATAATAAAATGTCAGAAGGTATGTGCTTACCATATAAAAACATTAGGTTCCAGAAGGATACAATACCGAAAAATCATTGAAATAAAAAAGGTTATTCTAGGATTTCTAAACCTCAGCAATAATACAAGTCTTTAAAAGCATCAAGATTATATTTAAAATAAGGTGGCATGGAAAAATGAGACCTTTAGTAACAATTTGACCCTCATTGTACCAGATGATAAAATTGGGAGTTTTTCAAAGTGCTTGAATTGTATTTCTGATCTCATCCTATAGTGTCAGGAGGAGGTAAAAATGCTTCATTTCGGAGCTGATGATATGTGCCGACACTGATGTGCTGCCGTGTGCTCCCAGGGTAGCTCAGAGCCCAAACTGGGGACGGTCAGATCTGCTTCATCTGGACCACCAAACAAAGACCCTTTTTTAAAAAAAAAAAGAACCTTTATTGGCATTGTAAGTTCCTTAAATCTCACCGTCTTACCCACCAAGTAGGACTGAGGGTCTAGCCAGACTAGCTGAGTGCTTCTGGGACAAAACCTTGTCACAACAATAGCACAAGATCGGTACGCTTCTTGTACCAGACAGCTTTCTCAGGAGTTTCCCTAACATCTCAGCAGGCTGCAGGCTGCTCCTGGAGCCAGTCTGTGGCACAGTTTCTCTTTGGTTGCTTTAGACAGCTTCTGTTAAGTGTCGCTTGTGAAGGAATAAAACTAGGTGGCCACCACTGGAACTGGTTATAGTAAACACTTTTTCACGTAGCACAGAGCTGTACACTAGGTGTTACTACCCTGCTCCTCGGAAGCTGAGCTGTGGTACACAGAACTGCATCGGAACGTGCCCGAGAGGCTACGTGCTGTTCTCTGTAGGTTGTTTTTTTGAAATGATCTAAAGGTACTGTGTAAGGACCTGACATCCTTGAAACTTCTGGAAGTTTTGAGTTTTAGGCTGCCCTCATTTGTGTCTTTTGTTCACTTGTTCTAGAAGTGCAGTTGTAAAATGCAAATTGAACATGAGAAACAGAAGATGTTACCTAGCTTTTATAAAAACAGATGACGCTTCATCTACACTATCCCTGTGGAGTGGCAGTTATGAAACCAAGAATAGCATTATCACCCTCTTCCTGAAGATACCCGAAATTCCTGTACGAAGTGGGGTAAGCATAGTAGCATAATTTGAGCTTAGCTCAAATTTCCTACAAATAATATCCTATTAATAAATCGGGTCATGCTGTCCTTAAGCAAAGTGGGATTGACTTCTGAAAAAGCTGTCCAGGGTTTGATTTCCCAGGCATGTTCTGCTCCCGCTTTTTGTTTTAAAATGCAAATACGCTACTACATAGTAACGGTCTAAGGCTTGTAATCACTGATATCCTTCCGGTACAGGCGTTGTCTGAGTGATTCCTGTGAGACAGTATGTGGAACTGTAGTAGCAGTGGTGTAGACAAAACTCATTTTCCTCCAGGATCTTACCCTTCGGGAAAGGCAAGCCTGTCCGTACAGTTTTCCGGTACATATGCCCTCGGACTCCTGCAAGCATACCAAGGCATCGGAAGGCACAGGGTCAATGCAGAAACGCAAGGAACATCTGTACAGTGGTGCCACAATGCTGTACCTCCCAGCATCACACTCTTGCAAAGTTAGATCCTTAAGACAGTAAATTAGTAAGAACTACCTAGACTGATTAAATGTATGTGTATTGTTTAAAGAGAACATTTTACAGCTATCTGTTTCTTGATCACTGAGAAACTAAGAACATCAAAATCTAAAACAGGTTACTTCAAATTTGAAAAATACTTCTCAACGTGTCTCAAAAATTTGACAGAAGTGCCTGGTTTTTAGTCAACAGAAAGCCATAGAACTAATTTGAAAGTAATTTAGACCATGTTAGGTTTACTGTAAATGTAACATTGTTTGGCAGTAGTTTTAGGATTGTATCCCACACAGTGTTACATTCAGCTCCTGCAACTGATACTTAGTGAAGTTGATATCAAATTGTAATTTACATTGTTAGGAAAGCTATTAAAAATACTGTACCTTGTATTTAATCTTCCTACTGAGAAATAGCTGCTGGACAGTGCACAAATTGCTACTGATACGGTTTGTGTTTGTTTTTGTTTTTTTAAAAAGATTAATAAAATACAAGCAAGGTAGAAAATAGGATTAAAAGCACTGTTTCAGGTACAAGTCTTTCTGAATTGGGTGGAGAGGTAAGAAACTGGAAAAACACACTGCACATCTGTGCACCCTCTGTATAAAGAGAAACGTACAAAGTGGCAAACTGGTGATGCACTGGGATAGCATACTAAAGTCTCTGATGCTGTAAACTTGAATTCCTAATTTTATCAAAAAGGGGAATCGAGTCTGGTTCCATTTTGAGTGCCCATGGGTTACACTTGCAGACCACCCCACGGTTTGGCACAGTACACTTTTAAGAGGCAGTCTCTGCTGAAGGGACGCCAGGACTGGAAAATGAGGCATAAAATGTGTCAAGACCAGGCGCAGAGGGAGAGCGTGAGCGGTGGCCCACTACCTACTTGGAATTAGCCAACAGTTAGTCCAATACTTTTGTGAGTTTCTCTACTTGCAAAATCAGGCCGCTGATCTAAGTAAAAGTTCTGTTGTTTACTGTAGCTAATTAAGCCAGTACCAGAGGCTGTGCAGACTGGGATTTCTAATTTAAATCTATTCTGATTTAGCGCACGCTGATTCCTAGCAGGTGCAAACTAAACCAGAGCAAGAGCATCTTCAGGAATTTGTCGCCAGCGTAACTGAAACTGTTTACCTTGTAGAGTAAGTATAAGTATTAGATTCATCTCTTTTTAACACAGGGAATTTGTAATGTAAGAGGAAATTACACTAAAACTGAACAGGAAGTAGTCCGAAGAGACTAAGTATCGGTTAAAATGCAAGGGGTCTCATTGTTCTCCCAGCAACATAAACCCTTCTGAATTTAAATCCCTAAAAAAACCACCAAGTCTTGTTACGGACCTGATTCTCAGCTTTTCATTACTTTTGTTAAGGTTACAGAGGCTGGGTAGGTCGGGTCCATGGGGATAAGGTGGCAGAGGGGAGCCCCACACTTACAAGAGCTGCAGTGGAAAGAACATAGGAATTAGATGGCAGGACCCCCACTGAAGTCTGTGAGTGTGTAACAAACGGAGAATTGTGTCTCTCAGACATAAACAAACCTTCTGCTCGTAGGAAGTAGTCACCCAAGGCCGAGAGCCCCAGGTCTATTCTCTAGTTGCTAGCCATGCTACACTTTCAGTGTACTGATTCCTTTGGAAAATTGTTAGGTTATCCTGCCTTATCAATCATACAATGTTCTATACTTTTTCTCCCAAAATGTCACTTACATTTATTTTAACTCTATATCTAGCATGCATTTTACAAGCTATTTCCCACTTACTCTTTCTAGCTAAGGCAGAACATTGGCTCTGGTGTTACCAGTGGTACTACAGGAATCTATTCATTCTACTGTAACATACATATCATCCCATACCATAATAATTCAGAACTGCCTCGTGTATGGGAAGGAAAGAAGAGACATTACAGGGGAACTATATTTCTCCTTAAGGGAATAAGTTGCGCTTAGAAAACTAAAGGCCCGATTCTGGAGTTATCATTTAGACAAAACACTTCCTAATTTCAGTTGGAACACAGCTGGAATAAGGGTAGAACTGTGTTCTTGAAGTCTTAATTCTGAATCTTTTAAGTATCCTTCAGTTGGACAGAAAGATACTGGTCTGCAGCCGGAATGGAGTTTTTGTTTGTTTCAAGGTCTATCTGTAATGACAGAAGGGTTTGCCAGTCCCAGAATGCCTTCCTTTGGCTGGTGTCTGGTTTTTGAACTCGCTTCTATTCTGATATTCCCCATGGTATCTTACTATTTTATCTCAGAGTGGCATGCAGTGCGGGCGCATGCTACTGATGCAAGCACTCTACTACAACTTCAACAGGCTAAAAAAAGAAAAAAAGCTTTAGCTGCATAGCTATACAAAGAAATGATGCAAAAAACCATTGAGCAGCACTAACTCACAGACTAATTACAAACTAAATTGTGCTATATATTAGTATAAAAACATGTTTTAGTAAGAATGGCACTGGTTCAGAAGGAATTAGGACTTCCATCTTGGTTCCGTTCGGTCCACAGTGAAAGCATTGTAGTACAGGCCTGCCCTGTTGCCTGAGCAACTTGTGACAGTGGCTTTTTGCCACAACCCTTCCTTTTCTTCCCTTTTGACATCCGTCTTTGTTGGTGCAGTCTGGGAGTAGCCCGGGTCAGGTCTGGTCATCTTTCCTAACGTGGCACCAGAATAGTTTGTTCTTATCCTCTGATATTTTTGTAATATTGTTAACGTTTCCCTCTTCTAATCTCTCCAAGCTGGTCAGTTTTAAGGGTCATCTTCTCCTGTAGATACCATGAGACGCATTGCTACTGGTAGGTGATCTGTCAAGCCTGCTAACTGGGTAATAAAGCTGAACTCTTCCACTTCCTGCAGAAGGAAAACAAAAGAAAGAAGGACTGGAAAATGGATCTGTTATACCATGTGCCGGGACCCAGCTTTTATGCCTCTTTGTAGTTTACTTTGAAGTACCTTACTATATTAGTGGACATGTGGGACCAGTTTAGCTTGGCAGGGCTAGTGGTAAGCTCTCCGCCACGCAGGGCATGCCACTGTGGTGCAGAGGATGAGGTGAACCATTTACATGCTACACAGTCGAACTAGGCTGGGTGAAATCTGTTGCACCTTTTCTTTCCATTTACAGTAACATCTGTGTTGTTCCAGACAGCCTTACCTGTAGTGCTGCAGTAGGTAACCTCACCTGCCTGAGGAGGGGCTGGCTGTGCTATGCTAGATACGGCATGCAGCTAAAAAGATCGAGGTGTTCAACTTCTTGGGAGCTTCAGGCAATCTGGAACCCTGCTCCTCGCGTCTCTGAATTACAGCCTTTGTTCTGGTGACATTTCATAGGACCAAATGAAAGTTCTGCAGGAAATACTGCGTGTCCCAGCTTCTGACAGCTGGGTGGAGCAACCTTAACCCTCATTTGATACCATGTAGCTGTCCCCTCCTACAAGCCAGGTACTCGCTTTGCTAATAACTTTGGGAATTGCTTGCAGGAAGCATAGATACTGTAGTTCTCTTTATGCTGCCAGCATGAGGCTTACCAAAGACCTAATCTGGGTCAAAACTATTCAAATACTGGTTTTGTTGTTGTTTGTAAAAAATGTAAGATGGGCTTACTGTACAGATGCCCGTGGGCATTTGTGCATCTGAAGCAGGAATCCTTAAAAGAATTCAGCTGCTAAGCTGCTGCGTCCACAGATGGAGGTATGTGCTAAGCTACACTGAACTCTTCTATCACCTGCTTTTCTGCAGCAGCTGCAATGGGGTGTGGTAAGTAAGTGTGACTAGCTTCTCGTTTTCATCACGGAATTCTGTATAAGGCAACGTCCTACACCAGGAAGCAGACAGCATGCTACAAGTTCTCATTCTGGTTAGCCCGTGCCAACTTCTGCCTGCGTATCACAGACTTGTAACTTAGGTAGGATTTCATAAGCATAATAAAAGCACATCCAGACACTTGAAAAGACTAACAAATATTCAGACTGCTGGCATGGAAAGCATCAGACAAAGCACTTAGTCTGGCAAAAGTTTAAGGAATGGAAACAAGGTTTTTTGTTTATTTGTTTTTCAAGAGCAGTGCATCTACCAGTGTTGCTACCAGAATCCCTACATTCATCTTATGTTTATGTAATAGGTTTACAAACTGGGTACTTGCATGCTAAAGTAGAAAATAGCAAAGCAGCAGGTTCTTCTTGGAGTATGCAGGCAGAAGAGGCTGCAGTGCTATCCAGACGATTTTGTTCTGCAAGTTACGGCTCTTTTCATCAGCTCTGAAACTCACCACTTTCCATTCCAGGTAGAGGCCTTCTTCCGTATAGAGCATATAGTCAATCCTCCTCCCGTTCCCCTTCAGTGATGCCTTCCTTCCCTTCTGACTGGAACTGTGGTTCTTGCTGGTGGGATACACCAAGTATCCCTTCCTTCCTTCTTCACTTTCCAGCACCCTATTTCATTAAAAACCAAAACAAGTGCTTTAAATGTGTGCTTATTCTGCCCCTTCGTGCATTATGCTAGAGTCTCTTCAAATCCCCAGTAAGGGTGATGCCTGTCCAAAAGGACTGTTAAACTTGTAAAAGCACATCTTCTTCCAGATGCGTTTTCCAATATGAGGCTGTTCTAACTGCCAACAGTGCTCTTAAAGCCTCCTGGTGGGTTTGGCATTATAGAGGCTGTAAGGTGGGCATCTGGGCCTGCCCTTGTAGCCAGGAGACCAAACACCTGTGAGGAGGACCTTGCCTGCCTGCTATCTATCTGTACTATATTGCAGCCCACAGCCCCTCGGCTGATTTCCAGTGTTGCTGAATCTAGGAGAGGAGGAAACTGTTTCATGGATGACTTCAGAACAAACCTGAGTACTTTTGATACAAACTTCGGACCTGTTCTGATCAGAGCAGCTCCTCAAATGAAGACAATTGGCTTTACAGACAGGATATGGGTGAGGAATGGTTTTCAGGACCACACCTTTGGGCATATGGTGGTAGGTTTTGAGCAAGCCTCAGCATCAGATTACTGTCTTGGACCCCAAGCTCTTAATTCACTAGTAATGATGGCCTAGTTTATTTGATTCCTGTATGTGACACTCTTCAAACTCCTCTATAGAGATGGACTTACTCAGCGGGCATCTTAGTACTGCTCCCATCCTGCATGGAGATTACACAGCCCAGGACCAGATACAGAGGCAGACAAAATTAAGAATCAGTGTTCTAGGTACCAGTCTTGTGTTCAGGCAAATAAGCTGCAACTCTCCTATTAAACTTTTTAGTTTGGGTGCTTAAGCCGTAACAGTAGGTTTTATACAGAAGACTATTTAAGGCCTCGAGCAACTTGATCTAACTTTGAAGCTAGCCCTGCTTTGACTTTGGACCAGATAACCCACAAAGGTCCCTGTCACTGTTCTGACAGTAATTCTGTATTGTTTTGCTGTTCTGTGTTGGATTTAAAAGGAAACCTGGTTTACCTTCTTGTAGCCTATTTAAAAGGAGCACTAAAGGCAACAGATGCAACAGTGCATGCAAATGCAGGAGTTGCAACAGGGTAACTGCGTGTGGGGGGTGGGATGCAGGTTGCAGCTGTTTTGCATGATAATTGCACATGCAGAGGGGGACAGATTAGGTTGTGGGTTTTGCTATCATCTGGCTCAAAAAACAAACAAACTGCTTTCAAAACCACCTCCTTGAAAATCATTTCCCTTTACTTACCTGCCAAAACCTGAGCTCAAGGTTCTGTGGTTTCCCTTGTAAGAGTTGATTACGCCATTAAGCTACATCATCAACTGTCGCAGGAGAAACACTGAGCCATGAACTTGGGTCCTAGCAGGTACAAAGCCTTTAATTTCACCTTGGAAAAAAATAAGATATTTTTGATCACCTGCTTTTTAAGACTTGACTTTGGATGGGTTTTATGAGGTCAGGTTTAGGAATTTTTTGATGCATGCATGTGAGAGTACAGAATGAAGGAAAAACAAGAGGCAAACGCCAGGCTCTCGTGATGTGTTCTAATGTTTGAGATTCAAATGGTTCCTTTGTCAAAATTTGTCTCTTTGGAAGGGTGTGAGTGGTGGCAGAGGGGACACAGCACTTGCTACAGTTGATCAGTTAATTATACTCATTAGTGTTATAATCTGTAAGTTTGGGTCAGTTGACAAGTAAGAGATGTGCCTTCAAAAGAGAACAATGACGAAATTCTAGTCATGGAGTTATTTAATCAATCAGAACTTTTCTTAGCCCGCTTTGGACTTAGTGAGGTATTGAAGGTTCCTAGAGTTTATTGTAACCGGTTTATGACAACTTGCTTTTATGTATTATTCAGTTTTAGGCTGTCATCTATTAACTCATGTAAAATTACCTTACCGTCTGCACCCATTTGCAAGCTGATTTTACCAAAAGCTACTGCAAGTAAGTGATTCACTCACTTCCTGTAATTCTTTTTCTAAGTTCAAGAAAGCAAGTTCTTTGATGGGACTGACCTCTTTCAAAAATTGTATTTATATTTGGCAAAGCTAATTAAGTAACAAAGGAGAAACTGCTGAATCTGTGAACGCTGGGTATTCACTTAACCTGCACAACTGCTCATGGAAGGGAAGTGTAAATTTCAAATACGTGAGGAAAACTAATTGTAAATGTGTATGCATCTGCTTCTGACTAAACCTTGTACCACTTTGTATGCTGTGGCTTGCGCTTTTTCTCCACAGGCAGTAGACACAAGTATTGGACAGCTGGCTGTGCCGTGCTAACAGTTAAATGCTAACAATTTAAGTGAACATAACTAATTATGACGGACTTGCACAACTAAACCTGAATTTTCTTAGAGTAATTGTCTTAATTCATAGGACACAAAGAAAGGGAGGATAAAAAGTAACTGGAAGTGTAATTTTTTTTTTCCTTGAAAGATTTTTCTGTCCCAAATAACTCTGAAGTTTAAGTATGAAAATTCTGTCACGCAGCTCCCTGGCCAATGGCCGGTTTGTAGTGCTGACCGTAGCTGCAGTGAACAAAGGAGTCTGAAGAGCAGTGTCTGCAGCGGAGCTATAAAGCAAAACTTACTCCCTCATCATAAAGCTCGAGGGACCATCTCTCATTCAGGCAAGAAGCACCCAAGTTAAGGAAGGCTTTTCTTACGGGTGTTGCAGCCTGTCGCCCAGCACTGTGAGCCACTGTCCAGCAGTGGAGACTTGAAAAATTTGCATTTAAATCTCATTTCTTAGCTGTGCTCTAATGTGCTCTCCTGTGCCAGCCTCTGTTCAGGGTTGAGAGACGAAAATGGGTTTATTCCAGTGCTTTACTTGGAGGTGACAATCATCTTTGCGAGACGAGATTATTTGTGTGCATTTCATGAAGCCTTTCTGAGCAGAAGCTTGTGCAGCTTCCAGCGCTGTGGCAGGGCCCAGATTGCTACATGTAGCTTCTTAATTGTTCTATAATTATAAATGACTTGCGCATTATTTGTACCAAGTATTCTTCTAGTCCAATGTTTTACGTATGCTGTACTTAACATGAGAGAGATATTTAAGAACTAGTTGTTCTGCTGCTTTTATAGCCTAATTAGTTTAGTAATGTGAACTACTTTATTTATAAACTCGGGAAGGGTGCTGATGAAGGAGTAATTCTCTGGATAGCTTACATTGCCAATTTAAATGTCGGTAAAGTCTGATGAAGGTTTATTACTGAAAAATTTGAGAACAGATCAGTTTTAGGCTGTACCTTGTTCTGCTGTGTATATGAATGATACTCATTAGCTAGACAGTGCTCCACGGCTTCTGTGCTGTTTAACATTTAAACATCCTTAAAGCCCAGATTAATGGGTTTAAATAAAGACTAATGGCTTTAAGTTTTAGTGAACTTACTGGCAATTTTTATGTTTACCAGTCCCTTGCAGAGATGGGAGGACAGGCTTTCTTGGCCTCTGGTGGAAGTGATGATTTCTCTACTATATATGCACTATATAATGTACACTTTCCCTGCAAATCTACACAAAAAGCAATCTGCACAAAAATTCCCATCTAATAGAGGTTTTTTTCATCAGTTTAAGATAATTATAATGTATTGCAGAAAACTGAAAGACACATTTAGTACTTATAAAGTCTTGTGCATATTCTGCTACCAGCAATCAGGAATATTTTCCTGGTATCTCACACTGAGGTACTGCACGTACACACAGGTAGCAGAAGTAGTGCTCTTAAATCTTTATTGATCATTTGATGGCTCTTTATCTATCAGTCATGTATTTATCAGTGGAACTTAATTGCTCAATACAAGTAATTCGTCAGGGAATAAAACAAAATACCCGAAAAGTAATTCGGTGACAGATTGTCTCAAAAGGCCACTTGAAAACATGGTGGGGGTTGTTTTTTTTTTTTTTAAAAGCTCCAAGCCTGCTCTTGGAACCATAAAATAGAATGATACACCCACTTACAGATTTGCATTTGCAAACTTGATTGTAGGGCCAAATTACCTTAGTTTTGCTTTCCAGAAATCCCTTTCACATGTACCAAATTCATGTTCAACACGTGAATAGAAATGCCTGGAAATTTTGCAGGTTCTTGAATGTGCAAAGTGTGACTTGCTCTAACAAATGCTTACTTTGAATAAAAACTAGACCACCCCAGACCTTATGTCTAGAATTCAATTCCTTTCTTCAAAACTAATACATCAGAGGGCTGGTAGATATTAAGCCATATTCCTAGTTATGTCTGATGTGCTATTTAATTCCTTTCTATATTTGTGAGTTTGCTTTTTTAGGTGTACTGAATTCTGCAAGCTTTCTAGAATGGGAAATTAGTTGTTGGCTTGGGGGTGGCGTTTTAAATTTTATGGGTTTTTTACTTGAGGAAAACTACATTTCCTTTTGTTGCTGTCCTTTACAGGGCCGTGACCACAGAACTGGCTGCATGCAGAAGGACCTTCAGTGAAGCTGTCCCCATACCCTTTGCAGTAGCACTCAGTTTCTTGTCCTATGGGCCTGTGCAGGTAGGCATAAAAACACTGGCTGCAGTTGCTCTCGTCTTTTCACCCATTGAAGCCAATTCTGTTAGTGTTAGAGAAGCAGCCACTTTCCCCCAAGTTACTCCCGAGTAAAAAATTGTTTGGGGTTTTTGTTTTGTTGTGTGTTTGGCTTTTTTGGTTTGTGTGTTTTTGGTGGGGGGGTTTTTTGTGGTTGTTTTTTTTTTTTTACAGTCCGTAAAACACTCCTCAATGTGTGAAATGTTGACTAGCAAGCAATGAATTGGCTTTTTCAGGAACTGTCTAAAGCACATGGGAGGATTAGGAATTGCATACTTCTGTAGGTTATCTGGAGTGCACACTTCTTCATCATATAATCCTTCCGGATCCAACAAGGTACCTGTGAAGAGAAAGGGAGATGTGACTGTCCCAGCACACCTCCTGTGACCTGCCTCTCAGCAAGCTTCCAGGGCACAGGCATGTGAAGACAGCATGCCTGGGGGGGAGCACGCACCACTCTGTGTTCACTTCTCCTCCATCCAGAACTCCCTACTGCCTGCCAACTTTCAAATGCTGCCCCCATCCTTCCAGTTTCTCAGCCTCAGTGTCTTTCATTTTTTTTTGTTTGTTTTTCTGCTACAACAGAGTAAAGCCACATTCTTACAGTCCCACATTCTTACCTTTAGTATCTTCACAGTTATAATTGGTCCTCTAGAGAAAGTCTAATTCCTGATCTAAAACTTCACCAAGTTCAACTGAATTTCACCAGCTATAAGTACCTTGGGGTTCCATGAAATCTTTTATAAGATGAACCCTACAGGTTCGTAGTGGTGTTGAATTCCTTTGTTACATCCTCACTTACAGTATTTATAAAGTGCCAAGAGGAACATTCTGATCAAAAGGTGCAGGCTATCATTGCATGCAGAAAGTACAGAAACAATAGCTTGGCTCCCCCCACCTCCCCCCCCCGCAAAAAAACCCCCATAATCTAGAGATTACTTTAAAAGTAGAATAGGTGTGGAAAGGCATTCAAATATCTTGATGCATAAGGTCTAGAATGTGGACTGAAGTTTGAGATCTCTTCTTAGGTTCTTAATTATAATTCAACAAGAGACTGTTAAGGTTCATAAAATACACGTTACAGAAATACCCCTTGTAAATATTTGGTCTCCGCCAAATTCTTACTGCCCATTAACTGAACTACCTGCTCCTTATAGGTGTCGTGTGAGTGGCAGACAAGTAAATGTTGACACACAGGTAGCCAGAGGAGGTCTTACCGATTGCCCATGGTTTATCCTCCCCAGGACCAATTCGACATGGGTCTTTGTAGTGTGTAAACAGAGAATGCTGTTGCTCCAGCTTGTCCTCTGCAGGGAAAGAACAAGCCCAAGAAAAAGCACGTCAGCTGCGTGTCATAAACCTGTGGACAACTGTGTTCTGCCTCAACAGAAAAGGCAAGTCCTCCTTCCTCCTGGGTATACATATATAGGGTGGATTTGAACCGGTTCGGTAGCAGCTTTACTGCACAGCAGTATCTTGTCTTGATTAGAAATTCCAACAAATGCTTGCTAGTAACAGTGCTTTCCTACAGCGTCTTTCTATGAAGGGCGTTTTTGGTAGTTTTCTAGCTGTGAACTGCGGGGAAGGTTTTCCAACCATAATTCCTTACCCTGCCATTGACACTTCATTCCTTACTCCAGTACAAAACTTTTGTTGAGCTAGATCACACAGTGGAGACCTGGACTGACTTCACAGTGTACATGGCTGTTTGTGGGTGTGCATATACACCTCAGTAAGTTTGAGCATAAAAGCTTGTGCTTTACTTGCTTCAGAAAAATTCACTGAATGTTTTCCAAGCTATAATAGGTAAGAGAAAGGACAGGCAATTGATAATTTGCTTGGGATATTATCTAAAGCATTAAAGCCATTTTAAACATAATCAGCATGACCTATCTAAATTTTGTCATGATTATTTGCAACTATGGCAGTGACAAGTCACAGCTGACGAGACAAACTCAACCCATCTAGCTAGAAGGCTTTTTCTCTTATGCTAAAAGGTTTAAAAACATAATAAACTTGTACACAAGTCAGTCCAAAGCAACCTGACAGTAAGTAACCTTCTCATAATGTTCCCACTAAGTGTGAATTCACTCTATGAATGTTGTCATAATGTTCTGTAAAGCTGGAGGGGAAAACTGGGTTGCAGAAAATTTGTTATAAGCATAAGGTCGCTCACGGACCTGGAGCTCTTTGAAAACTGTACTGTCGATATGTCTAAGAATAGAAGCTTGATATTCACCAAAACATTAATTAGTTGCCCTATCAGTCTGTGGAGTGGGAAAGAATACAGAAAATCATACAAATGATTACAGGAAGCTGATTATTTTTTTAAAAAATTCAAAATGTTCAATTTCTGCAATGCTAACAAACGTCCCTAAAACAATGAGTAATGTAAAAATGGAGGAGAAAACGTTAAAACACTGCATTAATCTTGCTTAGTGCATAAGGAAAGAAAGCAATCTAAAAATAAAAAGTGAAATACCCAGCTTAATTTCAGTTTCCAGTGAATTTTAAACAGCAGCAGGATGTAAGTAAGCTGCAGAGATAGCAAAAATAAAATGTTTTTTTATAACCTACTTTTCAATCCTCTTTAGCAGTGGTGGCAATATTTACAACTATTATCTGCAAAAGCAAATAGTGATACTTCTGCTTTAAAAAGACCGGTCACAATGGCATTAATTATACTCTCTACTTCTTCAAGATCTTGGTTAGAGTGCCAAAACTTCGCAGGCCGAGAATACAGACCATAAGTTCTGCCTCACAGCTTCCCTGCTATCCCTTTCCTCATGCTGTACAGCCCTGCTCACTTTCCATTTGCTATGTGACTGGGCAGTCTCCCCTTCAAAGTGCAGGAGATTGTTTCTTTCCTTGATGGACATGTTTGCCTCCAGGCTGCTCCATCCATCCAACAATACTGAAAGTGAAACAGTCAAATCACAACAAATGTGTCCCTTTGTATCCCCCAGCTTCTGCCTCCCTTCATGGGCACTGCTGCGATTGCTGCCTCAGCCTGTCTGTGTAGCACAGATGTATTATTACCACATTTCTACCTTCCCTCCCTCCCTAAAATCTCACTACCTCTGCTACCGTTACATTTTATCCTAATACGTGTTTAACTACAGTGTTCTGTAGCCATTACCACTTACTGTTCACCTCTGCAGTACATAATGGATTCTTCTACCAGTCGGAGCACTTGCCAGCACCTTATCTGACCATACCGAGTTTACTCATATAGGATCATATAGTTGTGACCGATTTATTTTTTTGTACATATGAGCTAGAAACAAGCAACAGAAGAGCTGTGCTTTGGGTTGATGGTCTTTTCTCCAACTTTGTTACAATCTTCCATTACAAGTGTCTGATACAAGTCATGAGATTAGAGAATACTAGTTATTATTTTTGAGATCAGACAATGCTTGCTTTTTGGTTGCTTAAAATTATTTTTGGTACAGTTGTTGCTCTCAGCCTCAGTTACCTAGGCTGCTTATGCAGACTACAGAATTCACACTAGGTGCTGTTCACAAATCTGCCCGTTAATCCACAAACTCTGGACTGACTGGCTGAAGCCTCTTTGAGTGCTGCAGCCTGAGCTCACCTGCACACTGCACATCTCCCTGGTAACACAGCGCAGACACAACCACTGTGACGAGCCCCCTTCACTGTACCTGCCTTGTGCTCTTTGTAGCTTCAGTTTTGGCCCAGTCAGGCAAAAGGCCTTTTGGCCATCAGCCTTGCAGGAGGCTGCCCGCCGGGCACCGCTGAGCCATTTGCTGGCTCCAAACCAGCAGCGTCGATTGCCATCGTATAAAGCCAGCCAGGAGCTCCGGTGGATGCCTGAGCTGTACTGAGCGGGAAGGCAGAGAGGATACGGAAACACAATGCTCTGCACTCCATGTTGGCAATTTAACTGTTAACAGAGCATAATATTTGTATTTGGAAAAGGCTGCCATCTCTGTGAACTCGCTCCTCATTAATTACGGTTTTGTGGAGTTCTTTTTCTAGTATCCTCAGCATCCAAAGATAGAAAGAAAAAAAAAATTTAAAATGTATTGAAATTTAAAAAAAAACAAACCAAAAGAAAATAAAACAAAAAAACACACAAAATGGAAACACATAGCATCAGTTAATTTTTTCCAGGACTGATGTTTAGTTCTCTCTGTAGCATCAATTTCCTATGTCTGTGTATATGTACTATCAAATTATTTTTAACTATATGAATTTACTACTTTTTCCTCCACAAAAATCCCGTAACTTTCATTAGTAACTAAAATTCTCATAAGTGTGAGCTATTCTCCTGGGCTTATCTCAAGGCTAATACCTGTTTTAGAAGTATCTGTAGCAATTAAGCCTTTCCTTGCAAAAGCCAGTCACAACAGTGTTACAGGACTCAAGAACCTTCATATTCCTTTTTGGAATAGGTAGACACCAGGAAAAGGAAAACCTCGTCTTACCAGAGGAGCAGTTATCGAAGTTGAGATCTCCACAGATTACATCAAAAGCCACCAGCTCCTCTGGATTGGCTGTACTGGAGGAGGAGGTAGATTTTCTGAATTCAGACAGCCAATCTTGAAGCATATCCAGTTGCTCACATCGAACAGTAGTATCTCCTGTAGCAAACAAACCAACCAACCAATTAGCAAAACAAGAAATAAGACCTCCTTTTATGGAGCATGTTAGCCACATACTCATTCTTAAGCTATTGCTAGACATCTTGAGAAAAAGGGTGCAAGATAAAAAATGGTGTGGCTAATAGTATACTCAGTACATAGTGCTTAGTCTATTATGAAGTTTGTTAGGAGTCACACTTTTTGATGATTTAAATATCTCCTCCTGGAATCAATCATACTATAGGCGTGTCTGAAGAAAGATGACGACAAGGCTGCTGGTGCTGCAGCCAACCAGCCAAAATGATAACGCTTCTAGCCACAGGAGGAAGATGATGTGATGCACTGCATTTGTAATCAGGAGTTCAGAGTTAAAACCCCGCTTCAGACAAAACTGGACAGCATGTTCTGGGGTAAACCACTTGATCTTTCTTTCCTTTCTAATTTTTAAAATGAAAAAATTAACTTCCAAGTGTTACTAGTAAATATATGTCAATGGCAAATTCAACTTGCTCATGCTGTAGTAGCCCATCTGAGGAAGGGTTCTATTTGTGTTTGAGTAAGAATGCCTAAGCTGGAAGTATTTTTTCATATTTTTAAAGGTATGTGTTGATACAGGTTTAGGTCAGCAGTACTTCAGAAAAAAGAACCAGAGCTGTTTCACCAGTTGCCAGGCAGTTACACTAGGCTATGTGTGCTGAGGATGTGCCCCCGTTTTATAGGTGTGATATGAGAGGGTTGAGATTGACTGGTTGCCAAATATTTTAGTTTGTGAAACCATCTGATGCACAAACCAGCTCTTTAATTATAGCAACTAACCACACCATTTCAAGCACATTAGGTGACATGAAGTCTAAGAAAAAAAATTAATTACTGACTCTTAAAATGATAACAGCAAAAGCTTGATGTGGGGAAAGGAGCAGGAAGATACACGTCCTAGAAATAATTGTTTACCATATTGTCTTTCCTTTCCTTTTGTTGTCATTCAACCTATACTTAACAGTTACAATTTTGCTTGTTTCCAGCTTGAAATGCTATGTCAAGTCAGAACAACATTACTTTTCTTCAAAACAAAAGATCTGTTTTCAGATGCCACAACTGGAAAGAAAAGTAGGCAAACACAAAATGACTTATTCTGACTACAGTTTTATTTTAACCTAATTTACTACTTTGTGCTAGCTATTAAAAAGGTATAAAACACAACCAGAAACATCAGTTATGTATGTCCAAAGCTGCTCTCAGTGGCCACTATGCAGATTGTGAATATTTACATCCTTACAGCTTGTTAATTACTTGTCTCAACTGTACCTGTCACCAGCACTCTTTAAAGTCTTTCAAAATGTGAACTCCACAGCACAAACTGAAGCAGAAATGTTCAACCAAGCATGATTTGATACAATCCTAAATAATTAAAAGAAATGGTAAAAAGACTATGACTAGGGAAAG